ATATTGATAAAAAAAATATTATTAAAATATAAATATTTGATAAATACAAAATTAAATTAATTTTTGTATAAAATTAATAAACTTTAAGATTATTTTTGTTCTAGAGTCAGCCTTTCTCGTCCTTGTACTGTAACCTTCCATAACCTTCCAGAGTTCCAGACACCATGTGGCATATTTTGTGTGTGAGTGTGTGTGTGTGTGTGTGTGTGTTGTTTGACTGCACGCTCACCCTATGCATTTTCGTGCGTGAGTGTTTGGCATGCTCCTCTAATTTTGTATATTAATCACCTTCTCTTTTATAAATTATTAACTAATGGAATAGTTTTATTTTAAATTAAAATTTTTAAATTACTCTCTTAAAAAGTAAAAGAGGGAAAGATATAAAAAATAATATTATATTATTTATTTATTTTTTATTTTTCACTTAAAGGTTGTATTTAAAATTTCACTTATTTTTGATAAAAATGACTTATAAATAAAATTGGAGAAATAAAATACAGTGCAGAAACCAAGAAATGTATTACTCCCTCCTTCTCAAATTATAATACACTTTTAGATAAAATCTCACGTATCAATAAATTTTATTAAATACATTTAATAATATTATTTTTTCAAAATAAAAATATATACTTTAAAAAATACCTATCACTTAACATATTAAAAAAATAAATAAAAATTAATTATAGAAAGAGAAAAAATAGTATTAAAATTGACGCATTTAATAAAATTTTAATTTATTTAAAATATTTTATATTTCAAGACAAATTTTTTTTTAAACCGATCTATAATTTTAAATGAAAGGAGAATTATTGTACGGCGTCCAGGACTACTATCATTCAATTCAATTTGAAGAAATACGTTCCAAAGCGGCTCTTATACCCATTTATTTAATTTTATTTTTCACTTCCTTTAAATAAACAGGTACGTCCAGGCTGATGATTTTCCACTGCGCGATGAGATTTCGGTGAGATCAGTTTGAAAGATGGCCAGATTGCAGCGGAAGTGCTCCCTGGATGGAGCCATTTCAAAAGTGGGTTCCAGCAATACAATCAAATTATAAAAACAAGGTTTCGATTAATAGTAAATATTTCATTTTTTTTTCTTCTATTTGTAGCAAAATATTAATATCCATCCTATTACAATCACGCATGCACCAACCACCAAAAAATTGAATGCCCTATTTTGAGCAAGCCAAGTTGGAATTGTTGATGTTTTGCACCATACATGGGCGAGTAGCTTTAATTTCTAATGTCAACTTAGTGACTTTAACGTTAAATACTAATCTCTCCATTCTAAATTATAAGATTTTTTTTGGACAAAATTTCACAATACATATTAATAAATTTTATTAAATACATTTAATAATTTTATTTTTAAAAACAAAAACATTAATTTTTAAAAATATCCTTAATTTAATATATTAAGAAAAGGGAAAAATGAAAATTAAATATATGAAAAGAAAGAATACTATTGAAACAAGCTTATTTAATTAAATTTTAATCTTTTTAAAGTGTTTTATAATTTAAGATTGAAGAAATACTAATTAAGAACAAAGTAGATATTAAGTTATCCTGTTGGAGATAATGAGACGTTGACGGGCACATCATGATCCGGAATAGTCATAATCTATTCCTGATTTCTTTATTTTGGGGTAACGCCATTAAAATGTAGGGACAGGCCATAGTCCCGACCAATAAAGCACCCTCAACAACAAAGCCACACGCTGCGGTTAAATTTTGCTGATATGGGAATTACATTGTCAGATATGTGTTGCCAACATCATAGTCTTGACAACCAACAAAAGTTGACATGGTAAACATTTGGTTCAATCTTATTCTCGCGTTGTGAGAACATGGACACGATCTGTTAGTATTTTTGTAATAATTTACCTAAACTTTGTCGCTCATAAAAAAACAACATAATCTTGACCCTTGAAAAGTTACATGCCACACGCTGTACCTTGCGAATCTTTGCTTGTTTGTGGAAAATTTCTTTAATCAAAATTTCAATTAATTGAAAGTTTACTATATTATAAATTGGTGCGTTTGAAATTTTGAATGGAATTCTTTTGGGGAGGAATAAAAAAAAAGAAAAAAGAAAGGACAGAAAATAAGGATGGGAATTAGAAGATAAAAAGTGTTCACTCGCGCATTTCTAAGAACCCAATCATCGCCGCCTTCCCTCCTGCCATTTTATCTCCAAGCACCCCCTCTCGCCAATCCGTTTTTTATCCCTCGACAAAACTGAACATTTTCAATTTCTTCTTGTAAAATTCTCAAAGTTATGGACTTCCCATGTAATTTTCTCAATAAAATAGTACACCTTTCTGTACGGAAAAAGGTCGACTTTGATATGCTTGAGGTGGCCCATATGGTGACTGAAGAACTCATTCCACTCCCAAAGCCGTGAAACATTGACTTGCAGAAGAACAAAGTTCTTGCCTTTTTTTTTTTTTTTAATACACAGAAAGCAAAGTTCTTGTCACCCACCAACGAAAATGATATGATGATAAAAACACATCAGAAGCTTGATTTGAACAAAAAATACTGTTATGCAATGTTTGTAGGATAGAAAAGTATTTTCCAATTTTTATTTTTTTCGTATATCAAATATTTAAGAACCTGTAATCGGTTTCTCAGCGAACAAAGAAAGAAAGGCCTTCAATTTGACCTATCAATTCATCATCACGACCGAATATTAATTAACATCTTGAATTGATCTGATCCCAAAAAGCTGGTCTAAGCTTCAAAAGAGAAGACAAAGACATGCAATATTGATGATGATACTTGTTGAGCATTATATTTAGTTAGTAATGAACAACTTGTACTGTGCGATGGAGAATGTATATGAATAGGAAGATTTTAGAACGAGGTTTTGAGTAGTGGAAGGCATGAGAATATAAGAACCAATGTGCCACCACAGAGGGAGAGTAGAACATTGTAAATAGGGTAGAAATTAGAAAAGCAAGCAACGGTTGAGGATTGAGATGGTCCTGAGTTTCGGGGTACCCAAATCCGCACAAGTTGCAGTGTGGGGTCCTCTATTTTAGACCCACTTCATGGAATAAATACACGCAAGGAAAGCCAAAGAGATGCCATAAGAATAAGTACTGCTCTTGCTGCTAAAGCCAGTTTTTTTCTTTTTAGTTTTGGGTATAGCCATAGGTATGGAAATATTGGGGTCAAAGGTGAATGAGTGGACTGCATAGTTGTGGAATTTGAGAGGCACTAAAATTTGCCTGGTTTAATTAGCCAATGAGCTAAGGATGAGCAGCAAGTTGTGGCAAAGATTCTGAGTGTGAGGGAAAAGACACAAGATATGGACGGTGTTAGCAGAATGGGATGCAGTGGGTCAGTGAGAATACATGTGAGAATTCTGAATGAGATGGTTTTGAAAATGATTTGAGACGGATCTCTCTATGTTAGGCACTTGAAATACAATGATGGCACCAGATCACCGTTTGTGATAACTCCGAATTGCTTACCCATCCGTCACTTTTGATGCCCATTCCACAGCCTTATCTCTACCTAGCTACCTTCTCCTAATGTCCTCTTTCTCTTTTCCCTTTTTCTTTTTGCCCCACTGTTCCGGCTCTGGACCTGATTTTGCAAGATTTGTGTGGTTAATTCTAATTACCCCATTTGATTTTTGAGTCATGTAAGCACAAGTCACATGTGGTGTGAGAAACGATTCATCGCTGTCGTGGCATGAACCTCTGGTTTAATTTCTGGAATGGGCAGAGCAACTTGGAGATCACTGTGGAGGTCCATGACAAAAGATGGTTCACGGAAGGGCGTGACAATGTTGAACAGGTACGTGAACGTGATAGATGGACTTCACATGAAAGAGAAATAGGCATGTCAGAGTGAGTGAAGTGTGGGGAACATGAAAGATACAAGTAGAATTAGGAGTTTACTTCAAAGACTTGGGCGGGGAAGGAAGATAGATTCTGGAAAAGTGAAGAAGAACACACTTGTATGGCTGTGATAAATTCTGTTAGAGACTAGAGACAGTTGAACCTAAACATGTTTACGAGTGTGTGTGGGTGTGTGTGAGAGAGAGAGAGAGAGAGAGAGAGAGACTGGGAGAAAAGTATCAAAGGAACAAAAGGCAAGGCGTGGCTTTGTGGTGGTGACTAGTGAGACACGGAGACATTGCTAGTGGAATTGATGAACCGCACGGCTTTTTGCAAGGCCTTTCATGTGGTGTTTACATGCACTTCAAGAAATAGACGTTATACGTCCCCAGGTTGGAGCATTTTAATGACCACTTAATGAACTAAGGAAAAAAAAAAAACATACTCACGCCGTTTTTTATATTTCAGCTTTCGTATCCTTTAACTAAAATATATTAATTATATAATTTTTCAATAATAACGTGGACAAAAATAGCTTTTTATAAACAAATGTCCCCTCCCTAAGTTATTCTGTGCATGCCTTTATTCTTTCTCCTTTTATCAGATTCACATGATAGCTTTAGGGACCATCAGAAAAAAGAATCTCGCTCTCCGTCAATACCAGGCCTAAGATTCTTGAAATGACATGATCTAGTGATTTAATAAAAGAGCAGAACAAGTCACCGGCCCAGGAAGAGAATAATAATAATGGACCCGCAAAGAGAAAAATCAAAACGGTAACCATTTGCCTAGCAAATCCCACCTAAAGATTCCAGCCATTCACACGTCTCTCAGCTTCATCTAATAATCATTCATAAATTAAGAATTTCTCTTACATAAATCCTATACCAATAGTGGCTATGGCACTCAAGGGCTTGTTTGATAACAAGGATCGGATAAAATTCTCTTTACACCTTCCTCAGTTCTTTTCCTTTATTTTGCTCTGCAAAAGCAATGTCGCGATAATATTTCTTATTCTCAAAATTATACTTTACTTTTAATCACATTGTATCTACCCAAGACAATGAACAGATATGCCAGACCAAATAGCGTAACCAAACAACGATTAGAATTGGTTAGTTCAAAATGAACAAGGAACGTGAAGTTTCAAGTAAATGGCAATTATCGGATTCCAATGCAACCACAAGTTGAGCTTGAGGTAACCGTATGATGAGCTTGTGCTATATGCAGCACCATCTCAAAAGAACCGAGTCTCTATTGTTGATTGCCTAGTTGATAGTAATATATTCCCTAACATTGCCCCTAAGAGAAGAAAAGAAAATAAATGGGTGGTCTTGAGGAGGAAAAGATGGAAATAAACAACACTTTAAAAAGAAAAAGGGCAGGCAACAAGACACAGTAGATGCCAGAATCAGCGGAGGATGTATAGAAATCACCAAAAATGGAATTAAAAATGCAACCCTTCATGATGCCAGAATCAACTTTCAATCATTGGTTCAGGGCCAGATGCTTCCGCGATAGATTTGTTTGCTTGACGAACAGAGTTGAAGAGGATATCCTTGATGACCTATTTATACACCAAAAATGTAAGAAGAGCCTACGTATTGAAAAAAGTTTTAGGGGACTAGCAGAAACTGTTTCAATGCAACTCACCTGCGACATCAGGCCATGTACTTGCTCTACAGTAATTTTTGCACTGTCACGAGTAATCTTAGCAAGTGGAGATTCTTCCTGCAATGCATTGAGAAATCAGCATATGACATGAAAAGGGGTAAAAAGGAAGCACAAGGAAAGGGGGGGGGGAGTAGGAGGAAGTAAAAATCGGCATTGAGATCAGGTATGGTGCCCATCATCTCAAAAGGACAAGATCTCTTTTAAAACTCTATGGCATGCTGGGGAAGCCGTGCCTACATAAAATCCCATTTCCGGACTATAGCGGTTGCGCGGTAGTATGCTATTATGGTGCACTCAAATTAAGTGAGCCCACCACATTTTAATTTGTGGTCATTTTGAGTGTGCTAGTGAGAACAAAGAGAACCCCTTGTTTTGATAAACTTGTAAGCGAAAGGAAAGATGCAAATAACACCTCGCCATGGCCCCGCAAATGCAGTCAAGCTCCAATTGTAGGTTACTTGCAAGCACACCCCTGAATTATCGACCTTTGTTATTTCCATCATATTGTCCCTTTACATGTCCAATTACCATGCCTTGCTTTAATATCTCAAGCTTTTACAACATTCATTTAATCGCAATCTGATTGGAGCATGCCATGTGACAAATGAAAAAAGGGTAAAACTGTATTTTTTTTCCCTTGAAGTATTCTCCAACAATGACTGTTAGAGAATTTCACAACAAAGGCAAAAATGCTCCGTTTTCATTATTTTAAAGGCAAACTTGCTCTGACCAATAGTTTAAAATATTGGGTGCCTCTCGAATAATACTTTAGAGACAAAAATGCACTTTTACCTATAACAGAATTTGATGTGGTACCTCATTCCATGGGCTTCATAGAGAACAGAACAGAAGGATCTAAAGTTTGAAGGACAAATTTCAAAGAGTATTTTCTGGTTTCAGAAGTTTAAGGGGTTGGTGTATGTATAGGCTTACAGTTTACTGTAGATGCACAGAACATTCAACAGTTATAAAAATAAGAGGATCTTGAAAGCAATGGTAGTTTTAAAAGTAACCGGCAGAGACTCCACTGTCCAAAGAAAATCAATCAGAAATGAGGCAAATAAATAAATTTGATAGAGGTACGATATAGCCAAATAGAGAGATAAGCTCCAGGATACAAACCTCATTCATAAATTCATTTTAATAAAATACATAACCTTCTAACCAGAACATTAAATATTACTGAACCAAAATCTATAAGACCGACTGAGAATGCTCTCTAAGACAGAAAAAAGAAGAAACTCAACTTGAAAGTTGAAATAATCATCACTTCCAAATAGTAAGACTACACAAATTCCAAGTAATACAACAAATGATTTATCCCGGAAAACTAACAAAGAAACCATGTTTAAGAGGGAATACAGAAACTTAAATCAGATGCTCAATCAAGCTGCAACTTGTTCATTTCATATTCATTAAAAATCTTTCTGATTTATGAAAAACTGCAACATTGACATTGAAGGCATGTGGGATAAGGGGTTTTAAATAAGTCCTCTCAGTGAACAAAAACGAATGTGCAAGTAATTGAAGCATGCATGGATCTTATAAAAGTTCAAACATTTCCACTAACACCATCCTCCTCAGAACAGGAAAGGCTAGATGAGTTCTTCTGCTATTTGATTTCACACATAAAAAAGCTTGCATGGTCTTTTGTTACAGTCATAAACATATGATGCAAGGCTAAAAACACATGATGCATTTGTATCCCTTTGGGATGTGCAGTACTTTGATACTTATAACAGCTCCCTTCTCTTGAAAGGAGGGTTTGATTGAGCATACCTCCATCAAATTGGTGTCTAGTTTCCAGGAATTAAAAACCCTCCATTCAACGCATTGTGTGCACATTACAAAAATAAAAAAACATGGGAAATTCTGTGACATATATTCAGCTCCAATGCGATCCTGTAAATCATTCTCTTCTTTATATGCCAAGACGTAGTGCAGGATCAGAAGAAAATTTTTATTTTGGAAAATGATCTCCGATCCCAAATCCCATGGCATAGTTTCAGTGATGGATAGACCATGACAGAAGTGGCTTAAATCCGACGTCAAAACAGCTATTGTAATGATTATTATTCATCTTATTTCTAAGTTGTCTGTAGATTTTCTAGAAAGGCTAATAACCAATGGCAAAGCTAGAAACAATATCTTGATCATGGGTTCTCACAGTTGACCATAGAATAACATTTCAATGGGAAGACGCATATCAAAGTTTTCCCACAACTTAAAGTAAAGGGTAAATAACAGCGAGGAAGGATTGAGTACCAACAGGTTATAGGGACACATTCCGCATATCAGCTTAAACTAATGTCTGACTTCTGACTTCAAACTAACAAGAAGTACTACCATGTATAGCAGGCAGGAAATTGCTAAAGTAGTAATCACTTACTCCTTTCTTTTTTTGAGGAGGACCAATTATTGACCCAAAGCGTGGGTGTGCCAACTGATTTTCTGCTTGTTCTAGCTTTTCAGCTGCAACAATGAAATTTAACAATCAAGATATTTATAACTTGTACGATTATGCCATAACCCATTTCTTAACAAAAGCATAGAAATAAAATATTTCAGTATCGAAACAGCAGAAATGGCACCAAAGAAATTGAAGCAACGATATGCTACATAATAATACCTAGATCTGATATTTGTCCAGCAACATATTCTCCATTACCCAATAACGGAGAAGATGAAAGTGTATTCACCCAATATTTGTTCCATAGAAGATCCAAGAGATGTGAATCAAGAGAAGACTTAAAGTAAGTGATATCCAAAGCATAATACTGCAAAAGCACACAAATCGAGTTCAGAAAATAATAGAACACGTCCTTAAAAGAGGTAGACAATAAAGAAGAATAACCTGTTTACAGTGAACACCAAAGTCTTCAATCTTATTTAACGGGATGGTTTGGTACTCAGATACAGGCTCGTCTGAAGGCTTATAACCTTCTGGGTATGTCCTGAACGCTCCAATATCAACTTTTCCAGCAGAGACCGTCCTTGTCGGGTCAATGACTACAGCCAGGAAGGGCTCTTGAAATTGCTGATTTAGCATTTGTGTAGACACGTCAATACCCGAAAGCCAGCATCCATAACCAGGGTGAGAATGATACCATCCAACAACATTTTCCAGACGCCCAGCCTACACGAGGATATACTTCATGAGCTAACCATAGAGAAGCTTGGGCATTGACAAAGACCCCTCAAGTTACACAGTGGCAACGGAATTTCATTTCTCATAAACTAGGGCTCTTGATCATCGAATTCAAATTATAAAAGTGAAAAACTTCATAACTCGGGTAAACAAGATATAAACGAGGATTCTCAAACTGGCGACCTTTACCATGGACTAGGGTTTTCCCATTTTCCGAGGAATCCTTCGAACTCCATTAAGTAAATCAGGAAGGCAACAAATTGACAGAAAATAAAAGAAAGAAAGGGAAGGAAACATCGGCACGCAAGCGCGAACCTGCTTGTTAGTCTGAGAATAATCAACCATATATTCGTAGGCATCGGCTTGGGCATTGACACGAGTTTCGGTGCCTTCAACGGGCAAAGCGAAGGCGTCCATGACGATGATGGCATCGCCATCGGTCTTACCCTGCATGAGACCCATGACTTCAATAGTGCCACCAGAGCGAGCATGGACAACCATCTTGAGAAGGGCAAGAGCAGAGATCTTGACACGCTTGAAGTAGTGGGGGTCGTTAACCCAAGGCTTGCTTCTCTGGAATTCGGTCTGGGCGGCCTCGTCGTAGTAGAAGATGGCGTCGGAGGCTTGGTCGGCGCTGGTAGTGGGAGAGTCCATGGGGATGATGTTGTTCTCAAGCTCCCAAGTTTGTTGGGCGATCACAGCAGATGAAGGGGAAAGCTCCATGATTTCTGTGACTGCGCTTGGAGGAAACAGACCCTTTTGATCTTCTCAAGTATTTCGTGTCTGCCGTTCTGCGGCAATATGACCATCAATGGGTCATGTATGCAATGTGTGTTGATGGTAAAATTACAACTCCGAACCCTATTTATGAAAAAACAAGTTATAATCAAATTTAATTGAATTTTTCGAACAGGATTGTGCCTATAAGCAATGAGAGAAATTTAATTGAGTTTTAATTAATTATAAACAACAAATTAGAAGGTCAAGTATTAATCAGTTGCTGCAATGTCATTTTATCATTGAAACTCACATTCACGTACTATAAACTTATGAAAGCGTACTTGACAGGGATATGATTTGCAACGTCTCTCTCGTTACTTGTGAGGGAGGTGAGATGATACAGCCGTAACACTAAAAAATTAACTTAGACTGATTGAGCTAAAATTGACTAATTTAAGTGTTAGGCATGCCCTGTTGACCAAAAGTATTAGGCATGCTTAAGAATATATTTTTCTAACTTCCTTTTTGTATAAATATTTTGAAAAATAATTTGACTAAGCTATTTTAATAATCTTAAATAAAATTGTCACTTGGACCCAAAAAAAAAATACTCTCTCTATCTAGAATTATAAGACATTTTGATACTTTTATTCATAATCAATGTAGTTTTCCTAAAAATGTCATTAATGAAAATTTAAAACAAATGAGATTTTTATATTTAGTTGTCATTAAATTAAGCTGTTAAATATGGATAGATATAAAATGAGTAAAAAAAAAAAATTAATGATGCTAACTATTTTTTAAGAGGCAGAGCCTGATTAAAAATTAAAAATATCTTATAATTATAAACAAAAGAAATATTATTTTATAAATATAAAAACATAAAATAGAATCTCCCCTCATTTAGCCAAGGAAGCAGCTGAACAATCCCAACCCTTAAACAAAAAAAAAAAAAACTATAATCATTCGCATTATTGCACGCCAACGGTTATCTTGTAGAACAGTTTTTCGAAAGAAAAATTGTTGCAAATGTTTGACAGTTTTATAATAGCTGTTAGCTTTTATTAAGCATAAAAAAATTGATGATCGGTATAGTTGATAGAAATTGATTTGGTTAAATTTAATTTTTGTGTACAAGTGTCCTTTTTTTCTTTTTTATCTGAAAATAACTGTACCAACAATGAAATTTCTTCGTGATTCCAAGCCATCATAAAAACGGGGGACTACAGTGAACAATAACCCAACCGTGTCTCAAATGCTTTTAATAGGAAGGTGCTTAGAAGCAATTAAAAAAAAAATGAAAGGTCATCTGATTTGAAGAAAAAATAACTTGGGCTGCAAGGTTAATTGCACGAATAGAAGAAAGAAAAGAAGAGATCCCAACTCATTCAAAGAGCCACAAAGTGCATAATTAGAACCAGTTATCCTGTTTAATTTCTGAAAACGAACAAAATCCCACTTTGATGCATTTAACCAATTTTCACAGCAAATGCGTACAAATATCCAATTTCCTGGAACCTAAATTGTGGGCAATAATCACCGAGCAGAACAGAACGGAAGGGGCCAGCACACGCAGCCCAAGTAGATGTGGACTCCTAAACGTTGATTTCACAAGAAGTTGATCTGCGGATGCACAACACACAATCCCTACATTCTAAGCTAACAGTAAGTTACAAAGGATTTGGCACACGTTATACAACCCCCACCTCACTTGGCAGCCCTGCCTCTGCTTCTGCCTCTTCGGTTATATTTGCTAATTCTTTTACCCTTTTGCTTATCAGCAATGCTCCTCGTGGACACTGCCAAGTCTGGTTCTGGAGCTACCTCAGAATGTTCCTGCTCAAACTCATTTTGGACACTTGAACTGTTCTGCGAGCCAGTGGCAACACCGTCATCTTCATTGGTCGCAATGTTGTTGTTTACAGTCACATCAGGAACCTCCGTGCAAGTACCACTCCTTGGTTCACAAGTCTCTTGTTCAGCTGCACCCTTAGATATCCTTTCATCACCTAAACCAACTGTATCGTGTTTGTTATCCAACGTTTTATCATTTTGTTCAGTACCCGGCCCTGCATTACTAGAAAGCATGGAAATGAAAAAATTAATTTATTTTTTCACCATAAGGACAAACTGCCCCCCAAATATTCCCAGACATGTGAAAGAAGTTCACTGATTCTCCTGATATGATTTTTCAAGCTAATCAATTATTTTTAACAACACATAACTTTAGATTTCTGTACTTTGCTCGAATATTACTATAGATCCCTGCACTTTTTTTTTGTGTTTTAGGTCCCTAAATTTTTGCTTTTCAGTATTCTCGGTCCTTATAACACCGCTTATGGAGAGACCTAAAACATCAAAAAACAAAGGTATAAGGACCTAGAATACTGAAAAAGAAAATACAGGGATCCAAAGTTATATTTTCTCATTATTTTTTCTAGTAATTGAGATGGTGGGGTGCAAATGAGAATCATTGCTTGTTTGAGCTACCAACACTTTGATTACATTCACTAGCATAACATAATTTATAATCATAATTAAGGTACCATACATTTACCTGGGTCCTGAGGAGGGGAAGCCATTTGCTGACACATCTGCTCCTACCTTCTCTTTAAGCACTGAACAGCTTCCGTCATGCAATACAGACTCTGAAGCTGCATTCAGAAGGATAAGAACCTAATGTTTGAAAATGCTGGATAAAATAGATTGACTTAAGTACTTCAAAATAAGGAAAATTTCAAGCATCCTCCAACCCTACATACATCTGATAGATGAATGTAAAGGTCATGTTGAAAACTAGCACAATATATGAAAACGGGTCATCCAAAAAATGTAAAACATGTTCACGGAAGAAGAGACAAGAATACCTTCTCTGGTTTCTTTCGTTGAATCTATCTCATAGTTCGCCCCATTCATATCACTGACGCCATTTACTTTAACCATGCCACCAACACTATCACATTCAACGAAATGTTAAAACCAAGACAAATAACTAAAAATATACTCCAGAAAGGGAAAAAAGAATAGACACCATCCAGATTCCCCAACGTAAGCCTGATTAGACCCAAATACCTGAGACAATCAGTTCATTATAGATGGCTGAACAGGATTACAAACTTAGACATAAATTAAATTTTCATTGAAGCAATTTTGCCATTGTGATGCCTTAAAGTTGGAACATTTTCCCATTGGTCACTCACAGAAAGTTCCATCATCAATATCCAAATATGGGAATTCAGGCTACTTCTGATAAGGAGAAGATCAATTTCAAACATAGAGAGCACCATACTGAAATTTTAACCAAGTTAGAGACTAGAAAGTTTAAGATCCCTCAGAAAAGCAAAAAAGGAAAATGAAATTGTTGTTGGTTAATTTATACACTAATAAGAACTCCAAAATCAATTCCCAAGCACTCCATAGATCAAAAAAGAAAAAAGAAACCCAGTTAAAGAAAAGTCAAAGTGGGACGAGGAAATGAAAAAAATATCAGAAAATAAAAATTAATCAACCTGATAAAAATCTAACAAAACTATTAAAAAGAGAGGAATGCAAACAAGAAAAATATATTCTAACCCGTTTGTTATCACATCATCTGCCGACCTTAGTTTATGCTCTGAAATTGTTCTCTCTCTGCAGTCATCATGTGAACCTACGTGGCATGATTTTTCATATGCAAATTAAAACTTGTAATGGGGGAAATGAAAACTATGAGCATGCATAAATGATAAATGTTTCATCTGTTGTTCAAATTACAGGCACAGCAACAAAAGGCACAAAATTCCCACTTACAACCTTCTTATTTCTCAGTACTAAGATGAAGATAGATAATTACTTGTGGTGTCATAATCCAAGTAAATATATGAGCCTAAAAGCTGAAATCAAGCAGTATGAAGGAATCGGTACAGTTGGAACAGATAAAAATTTAACCTGGTGAAATATCAGTAGCATTTACCTTCAGTTTGCCAAACATTGGTTTGAGAGCCCTTATAAAAATGCAAAAAGTTCAACTATGTTAGGACATCAGATAAAATAATTATGATTAAGAATGTCATAAAAATGGAAAAAAGAAAGCCTGAAGATAGGCTTATAAGCACCTGATTTTGTTCTGAATTAATGTTAGCTGAATCAGAACGGGCACTTTCAAGTTGAACATCACCCTGTTTCCTCTCCAGATCTAAGGGCAAAAGATGAGGTAAAATGTTTTAGACGTCAGAAAAAAGTAATTCATGTTCCCAAAAAAATCCAAATGAAGCTATCTGTCCTGCGACAGATGAATGAATACCACTGAACAGATGGGTTTCTCACAGATGAAGAATCATACCTGAAGCTTCATGAGTATTAAATTCATTGACCAGGTTCAAAGATGATACTGAATTGGTAAAATTAGGCACTTTCTCTCCCACAGCAGATTCAATATTTTCAGTAGCTGAAGGATTCACGTTATTTTTACATTCCACAGCAAATGCAGACCAATCAATCTTTGAGGAGGGAAGTGAACTAAGCATCTGCTCAGTTGCCCTGGAACGTACTCTTCGTATTTCATCCTGAATACTCCATGACCCCGTAGCTGGAGAATCCCTTTTCAACTGCATCCCATAATCAGCACATGAATCATGCTATAATCTATAAGCATAATGTTTTGACATTTCACCCTAATGACTGAGTTATCTACATAAAAACTAACATATACAACTTCCTTGGCAAAGTAACATTCACGTAGTGCTAAAATCAAAACCTACATGAATAAGTTTGTCTTGTCCTCAATCTAATGTCCATTTGGATACAAAAGTGGCACATCATGAATTTCAGCACTAATGACTGTTCTGGTTTATCAATATCTCTTGTCATGGGAGAATCTGTTTAAGAAATCAGGACTCATCGTCTAAAGTTCAAACTCGGTACCAGTCAACAACATCAAGCTAAAAAACAGTCAACAACATCAAGCTAAAAAACACCAGTCTAAATACAAAATAAGCCTTTCCCTATAATAAAAGCAACAAGAACATGATATACACATAATTTGAAAACATAAAATCAGTCAATTGCACCTTGGTGGATGATGCAGAATAGCCACTAACTGGATATGGCGTGTCTTCTTTTAAGAGTTGAATTCCAATTGGTGTCAAAGGCTTGCTATGGTCTACAGAAGGAGATGACCAAGGGGGGCGTGAGCGCATATATGACTTAGCCACATCAACAGGCGACCCTTCATCTTTAAGAGCCTGCAGACCAGCCAACTCCATTGGTAAAACCAAACAACCCAAGGGGGAGGAGGAAGTATGTATAAGCATCACGATATGTTTTGATACAAGAGAAAAAGAAAAAGTTACTAACTTGTGGCAACGTAGCCATATTTAAATTGTGACTTCCATAACCTAAATCTGAATTTGAATCTAATCTGGACTTCTGCTCCTTTAACCATTTCTTTGCCTCCATAACAGCTGCACTGCTGAGATCAGGTGAATCTGTATTGGAAACCACAAGGTCAGGAACAGCAATCATCTAAGATTAGAGTTGTGTGATAAGACTATACCATTTGCAAGAGTCCTAATGAGCATATCACTTGGCCTCTGATTCCGTTCTTCATTGGCAGAAGTATCCACCACTCTTGATCTAATTATTCTTATAAATCGATCACATTCTTCCCTATTCAAATGTTAAGCTCTTTTAAAATTTTATTCTGAACAACTAAAGAAAACAGTATTAAAACACATAAAAATTCCAACTTTTCAGCACCTTGAGAATGTCTCGCACATAATTAGCTGCTCAATGACATGCTTGTTTTTGTTATCCTGAACTACTGGTTGGAGATCCTTCCCAGAGGCATTGATCACTTCTAATGTCCCCCACTTCTGTAACCAAAGAAAAAGAAAAAGAAAAAGAAAAAGAAAAATCTTATGGACAATGCCATACAAAAACAGGGGAACAATTCAAATAAAAACATTGATCAAAACTGCTTCCAGCTAAACGGAAAAGGTTATATGCAGTGTTCTCCTAGCAATCCACATCTAAAATGATTATTAATTATTTAGGTGTATCAGTTACTACAATATATTACTATTACTATTATTATTATTATTATTATTTTTAGGAGTGGGTGGAGGGAGTAAGGAAAAGACTATAGTCCACTAAGCTATTGGATGCCCACATACAAGTAGAGCAAAATGTTTAGGACGACAATATGAAGAATAATATCATGCTTGTGCTATGTACAAGTGATTGTAAGTGACTACATGCATGTTTGTCCACTTTCATTTTCATGCATGTTCAATGTACAAAAGCAGTTGGACTTCGAAAATAAAAAGGCATAGAAGTGTAGGAAAACAGGTCCACTAAATAAGCAAACTAGCACGACATCTCTGGCACAATATAGAATAGTAGGGAATCAATTACCTTATTCAAGGTATCATCGCCTTTAAAGGATATACCATTGTCGTCGTTAGCATTACCAATTTCCTCCTCTGCAACAAGGGACAGCAGACACATTATTCAGGAGGGGATGGGGGGTTCGAAACTAAAGTCACGTCCTTGCTTGACAATAAAGCAGGGCAAATATGCATGAAAATACATAATTCCACATCTTCTATTTTGTAAATCTAATTAAGCACATTCGGATAGCTGTAATAGCTGGCACTTACGCCAATAAGTCGAAGGCTAAGCTTGGCACGTCAAAGTTCTGCATACTCCACTTCACGCAGAAAGATAAAAAAATTTTCCTAATTGATAACTTCAAAAGACTAAGACTTAAAACCCTAGAATTCCAAGTAAATAAAGCATCCAACTTGAAATCGTAAACTCGTTACATGGTGTAGGCATTACCAGCAGTGGAATCGTTAGCAGAAGACGAGGAAGAAGAGGACGAGGACGAGGACGTTGGCGAAGATTCTAAATCGAAAACCGTGGATAATAGTTTGCCAGCACCAGAAGCAATGGAACGAGTGGGGGAGAAAACAAAACGAGAGAGCCAACTGGGGCTCCGAGAGGTGGAATTGGAGGGAGCAGGTCGGTCGTAAGGAGTCTTGGCAGAAGCGGCTCGGCGGGGCCGGACAATTTTGCCGCCGGATCGAGGCTCGGGAAGTCGTCGAGATCTGGAAATGGAAGCCATAGCAACGGTATGAGAGCAGAGACGACAGATAGGCAGAAATTGAAGGAAGGAAGGAAGCAGAGGTTTGAGTTGAAGTTCTCTGCTTATCGGACGTCAAAACTCAAAACCTCTGCTGAGAGAGAGAGAGAGAGAGAAGGAACAGAAGGAAGAGATGCTGTTGACAATCCTCCATTTGATCGTTGGAGCGGTTATCTTCAGTTTATTCCCCCTCTTTTTTTCTCTCCTTCTTTCTTTGTCGTCTTTTTTCCCTTGAAATTAGTAAATAGTGTGTTCCTCTTTGGAAAATTAACCTGATATGATGTTGTTAACTTATTATATGAAGTTTTTTTAGGAAAAAAAAAAGGAAGAAATACCGTTTTTGTTTTGCACTTAAAACAATAAATAATACCGAAGAAGTTTCAAGTCTGGCAGCTGCTGCAAGTGGAGGCTCCACATTCGGGGCGAGCGACTCTGTTAAGGCAACGCGCTAGCGATGTTTCATTGTTTTATTATTAAATCAAAATACAAAGAATAAAAGTGCATTTTTCAAAATTATTTTTTAAAAAACATCTAACATCCTAAATTATTAATTAAAATAATTTTATTTATCATTAAAAATTATCAAGTGAAACTCTAACGTTAATCATTAAAAAATTTAAAGATAAAGGTAATAATATTTTATTTTAATTACTTTAAAAATAAAATTGTTTTGCTCACTTGTTCAGGATATTAGGTGTTTTTTAAATAATACTTTAAAGATAAAAAAGCACATTTACCAAAATAAATAGTCTTTCAATGCTTCATAGAAAGATTATCTAATTTTTGATATGAGATACTTGGTGGGATATTAATTATATTTTTAAATATTATCTATATTTAAAGTTATTAATTATGAGAAAGAATATAATATAAATTTTAATTTTGTTATTTAAAATAAAAATTAAAATTAAAATTTTTCTATTTTGAAATAAATTTAATAACTTAATTATTATTTTAGCTTTACTTTTATTTTTACTGCAGATTTTTTTTTTGTCTCTCATAGTATATATTATTTCGCGAACAATCAGAATCATCAAAATATTAAATATATATATATACATATATATTGTTGTGTTAATATAATTAATACAAATTATATTTCTATAACCTGCGTCTTTGTATTTTCTAACTTTTCATTTTTAGAGGCATCCCATAGCATACGAATATTTAATATCTCATATAAATTATTTTTAACCGGACTCATTTTTTTTAATTCATGCATGATAGAATTTTAAATAAATTACACTATTCGTAATTTACAATTTACAAATATCAATAATCTAGGGTTTATATATAGAGATTTTGATGATGACATGATATTTTTCGTCAACAACACAGAATGAGGCAATTTGACCAGAGTGTTGTGGAAAAAAATTTATTTATCAATATGCTATATTTTTAAAAATTATTTTTTAAATACTATAAATTTAAAACTCAATTTAAATCAAACTAAATTTTAAATTTTTTTTCAACGTAAAGGTACATAACTTGGTTTTTGTCAGACCAAATTCCATACCTATATTTTTAAAGAAAAAAATTGATGTGATAGGCATGGCGATTACCTATCGATCTACCACTATCTCCCCAATAAATGATTACACTTCATTTTTTTTTTTTAAACATAAAAAATGAATGAGTGGCTCATATAAATTTAATCTTAAAAGACTCAAGTCCATAAGTTCAATTATCACAAAATTTATTATTTTTTAAACTCATCATTTATTTAAAAGGTCTAAAAGCTGGACCCTTAAACCAATTTTTATTATTTTTTATTTTTTAAAATTAAAAATTTTAATTATAATATCTTATATATTTTTGAAAATATAAATTATAATGTTTAAAAATTAAAAGTAAATAACTAAAATCTTTATATCAAAGTAGAAATATATATTTTAAAATTTAAATTTAATTTAAAAATTAAAAAATATTTATTTTTAGGGGTGAAAATAAAGTGGGTCTAAAAGAGTTGCCCTAACCGTAACTCATTTTTTTGGGCTTATCAAACCTAAGCTTTAAAACTTAGTTTTCATGAAAAAATGCAATTTTTCAAGTCCAAACCTTTATAAGAACAAGCATAAATATAGCCCATCAAACCCAATTCTTATTATCAACTCCAATAGTTTTTCTTCATTTCATTGTGGGTTCTCCCTCCCCACTCCTCTTGTGTGGGTGTGTAATGGATTTGGTTTGGGTTATTTTTTGACCAACGTGTCTTTAAATGTTTATATATAACATAATATAATATTAATTTTATAATTATAATTAAGTTAAAATATATAAAACTCTCTTAAAATTTGGAGCATGTCAAAAAAATCCCTCATCTTTTAAAATTTAAAATCAACCTCCTTAATCTCTAATTTTTGTTGGTAAAAAATAATCTTTAACTTTTTTATCGCCGACTTGCCTACTATTGTTTCTTAATTATTTCAGGGTTAAGGTGCAAAATACCCATCGAGTGATTAATCAGGAATATCTAGTAATTTAAAGTGAGAAAATGATAAAAATATCCATAACATTGATAGAGTTGGTGTAAAAATGATCAAACCGTTGACTTTATCTTGATGTCATTAGTTTTTAGTGTTAAATACTAACTGTGTTTGTCCATTAGTCTTTATTGGCATGGATTGAAGAGGAGACAAAAATACTTACCAAATCCTTAGTTATAAGCATCCAGTAGCTTTAAATGAGAAAAAAGATAAAAATACCAATAACATTGCTAAAGTTGGTTCAAAAGTGATTAGTCCATTGAATATCTTAAATGTTGACTCTTTAGTTAACATCTAAATATAAGTTGATCATTTGTTTACTAACGTAAACAAAAAATATTTCCAGTTTAATTTCTACGTAGGTTGGTGAGTGATGTATCCTGCCAATTTTTTTTTAACGTGTCCTATCCCCTCCCTCCCTCCTTCTCAACTCTTTTTTTTTTTGGTGGTAAAACCTAAGATTTGATATAGTGGGATAAGTTATACATAATCAAAAATCAAGATTAAGCATGCCTTATAGGCCGCCTAGTGTTGTAAAGAAATGAGCGATTTAACTTGATGTTCAATCAACATGACATTTTTTCTTATGATATTCATACAATAACTGATCAACCTTTATAAATTTCATTTCAAAATTTTTTTGGTCTATGTTGATGAAAGAATTGTTAACTTTTACTTGGGTGTTAGCTATATAGTCAATATTATGAGTATTTTTACTCTTTTTTTTTTATTTTAGGCTACTGGATGTTCCCAATTGATAACTTTATAAATGTTTTTGCCCCCCATTTAGTCAATGTCAATAAATACTGACATGTGCCAAGTACAGTCAATATTTAATGCTGGAAACTAATGGCGTTAGGATAGAGTTAATTGATTTGTTATTTTTGCATTAACTCTAATAATGTTATGAATGTTTTTATCTTTTTTTTTTTTTTTTGCTTTTGGTTATTGAATGTTCCTAGCCAACCACTTAGCAAGTATTTTTGCACCTCAGTCCATTATTTTACTAACAAACTACAATGTCATGTTAAGAAAAAAGCATGAAGCTTACGTTAGATGCCACGTAAGTTTCCACGTGCATTTTTTTTATACAACATGGCAACTTCTATTAACAAGATAATTAAGAAATAACAATAAAGGAATAATAAGAAATCTCAATTATAGAACATTATTAATGACGCCTCTAATTAAAAGTATCCCTCTTATCTTATTTATAATTCGCTTCTAACATTTTCATGAAAATAAGGAGAAAACCTTTAACCTTAGTAACTCTATATAAAAATTTAATAAGTTTTAAATTTTATTCTATTAAATATGCATATCTTACAAATAAAACATTCTAACATGCACATAATTTTATAAAAAAAATTCAAAGGTCGCAGGAGACAAAATATTTAAAATTAATAATAACAATAATAACTTTTGTAAATGTTTGTTTTTTTTTTTTTGGGCCAGCGCTTTTGTAAATGTCTGTAAACAATTAATGAAATACCGATGCAGATGATAAAGAAAACAGCAATGTCTATACATCACTCAATAAGAAACGCAAGGGGAAGAGAAAGGAAAATTAAGCAGGAGAAGGGGGTAGTGACAGGCATAACTTGCTAGGGCTGTCACAATAATTGTGTGTGTGTGTTTTTTTTTTTAATTGTTTAGCAGAGAACTTGGTTTGATGAAGATCAAGTTCCGTACTTTTATGTTAAAAAATTGAAATTTGGCCTAATTTGAATTGGGTTTCAATCCTATATAGTATATGTGGAAATAGTTTTAAAGGCATTGCATATGGGGATATATATATATTTATTTGGTATACGGTGGTCAAATTGCCTTGATGATCCATAATGCTGGCAAAGAAAAAGAGGCAGATTTTTTTAAAAAGAGAAATTATGGTTGGGTAAAAAAAAAAATACCCTTAAGGAAAGTCAGTGGGCCGAGATGTAGAATGGTCTGAGTTATGGAGCTATGTTAACCAGACCTAATGGGCCGACAATGAGATAAGCTATTGCGCAAACACAGTGCATCTCCTTCGTTTCTCTCTCACCGACTCGTTCCTTCCCAGCCGTCGCCTGCCTTAAATATTATTAATCGATCACAGAACCGAAAATAATATCAGCGTCTCCGGTGAAATTCTCCTAACCCTGATAATTCAGGTGAATTCGCAAGAGCTTTTCAATCATGCCAGCTTTGACATGTAACGCTTGCAACAAAGAATTCAACGACGATGCAGAGCAAAAGCTTCATTACAAATCCGAGTGGCACCGATACAATCTCAAGCGCAAGGTTTCCCTTTTTAATTCCAACACTTATTCATGATCCTTTCGCTGCATCTTTAATTTTCATCCATTTATTGCATACTTTTCCAGCAACACTGAATATAAACAATATATCTCTGACGAGGTTATGCCCTTGAATGTTTTGCCTTTTCACTTGTGAACAAATACATTGAATTGGTGAGTATGCGCCTGCTCATTACTGATACTATCATTCCTCGCTTTTGCTCAATTTTACCCCTCTACTTAAAATGAGTAGAGCTGACCATATTAGATAGATACGCGCTACATGTTCTCATTACTGAATAAATTTTCTCTAATAATCCGGTTGCTCCAAAACAAAACTTTTTTTTTTATGTTGCTTGTCCTTAGACTATTGAAAACCTTGACTCAACTTTTTATGTTGTGTATGTTTAAAGCGTCAATATATATGTATGCATCTTGTATTCGTATCTTGAAATTTTTAGTATTGGACACGCCGTATCGTGTGGTACGCACGCTCATGAATGTTCAACACAGCTTTCAATTTGTGCCAATTTCGTATGCTTTGAATTTGTATATATGCATATCCCATTTTATTTTACCCTCTGATATCGCATTGTGTGTTAAATATATGATTTTATTATGCGAGAAGGATTGTTATTTCTTGTTGAAATTTTCTGGGGAGGTTTGTGTTGGTTTTTAAAATGTTCTGTGTCTTAGGTTATAAATGATTTCTATCGGTATCATCTTATACACTCGATTTATTTCTCATGGAATGATGTCATTTGCGTTTTGTTTTTTAATTTTAAAGGTGGCTGGTGTCCCTGGGGTGACAGAAGCACTGTTCCTGGCTAGACAATCTGCAGTTGCTAAGGATAAATCAAATGAAACCCCCATGCTCTATAGTTGTGGCCTTTGTGGAAAAAATTATAAAAGTTCTAAGGCTCATGCTGAGCATCTCAAGTCCCGTGGCCATTTGATGCGGGCATCTCAAGGAAGTAGTCATTCAGATGACAAGGCAATAGTCAAACCACTATCACAACGTGTAATGAATAGACCTCCTCCCAGAAGAGATGCAGACAATGATGAAAGTGAAGGAAGTGAAGATGAATGGGAGGAGGTTGATCCTGAGGATCCTTTGACTAATGATGCTTCAACGTCCATGAGTGGTTTGAATGTGAATGAGCATGATGACAATGTTGATATGGATGAAGATGATGATTATGGGGATTTGGATCCATCATGCTGTTTTATGTGTGATCAAAAGCATGATACTATAGAAAGTTGCATTGTTCACCTGCACAAGCAGCATGGATTCTTCATTCCAGATGTTGAGTATTTAAAGGATCCAAAAGGCCTGCTTACCTATCTAGGCCTTAAGGTATTTAATTACAGGCAATTGATGCTTGCCTCTTTTATTTTATTTTGCTCAGTAAGGCTTGATTTCATCAACCTTTTCCTGCTTGTTTACCTTCTAGGTCATGAGGGATTATATGTGTCTTTACTGCAATGATAGATGCCAGCCTTTCAGCAGCCTGGAAGCAGTTAGGAAGCACATGGCAGCCAAAAGTCACTGTAAAGTGCATTATGGTGATGGCGATGATGACGAGGAAGTGGAGTTGGAAGAATTCTATGATTATAGCAGCAGGTTAGCACAGTTCTTGCTCTCCTTTTTTTTTTTTTTTTTTTTGGTTGATGTCTTCCTCTTTCCAAACTTTTGTTCTTGATCACATACAGTATTATGACCTGCCTTTCCATCTCATCTCAACTGCTCTTGATTTTGTTTGCAGTTATGTGGATGAGCAAGGGAAGCAACTAGTTCCATCGGGTGATGCAGCCAACAATGTTGAACTGGGCCGCGGTGGATCAGAGCTTGTAATCACTAAGAAATCAAATGATGGAATATCAACTAAAACACTTGGTTCTCGTGAATTTTTGCGTTATTATCGTCAGAAACCCCGCCCATCATCCTCAAACAGCATCGCTGTTGCTGCTGCATTGGCTTCAAGGTTTTCTTCTTAACTTTGTGCTCTATTTTGTTTCAAGTATCAAGGTGAATGTTCACCGAACTACACTTTGTAAATGATATGGTGTAATGGTGAGGATGGGTTAATTATTTTGGATTTTTTTCAATTTTTTTTTTTGATGTTCAGTTACAGGAGCATGGGCTTGGCCACAGTGCAATCAAGGGAGCATATGGTGAGGTTGAAAGTGCTGAAGGAAATGAATAGGTCTGGTGTGGAAAGCATGCGTTCTAAAATAGGGATGAAAAGTAACGTCATCCGTAACTTGCCAAAGAATGTCCCATATTAGTCCCCTGCCTCCGATATTGATTTTGCCCCCTTCTGTTTATTTAGTTTCAACTGTGTAACTATTGAGTTTTGAGCTTGATTTCTAAAGTAATTTGAGGTTTTGGCTCCCCCTGAACATCTGGCATCAGCATTTGTGGGTGTATGCTTTGATGAAATGGCATTACGTTTACCTATTGGAAGATGGTATATGACTTGATTACTGCTTTCGTTGGTGCTACTGCTAGATTTATCATTCGGGTATGATAAGTCCAGGGATGAGTTTTGGCGGATCGCTATTGATTTTTTCAGGAACACGTGGTGGTATGGGGCCGGGACATAGTGAAAGATTTTAATTTAGTCTAAATAAAACATTAATTCAACTTTTCTGCTTGCATCTCCAAGTAGATGCGAAGTCTCCCCATGTGTGAAAACCTTGTAAATTGAATTGGGTTGTAGGGGGTGTCAAGCTGAGATTTTTTGTATTAATCGTTTCATTAGAGAATGGTTGTTCTGGAATTGAGAATTCATAAATTTTATGAAGTTTGGATTTTGTGTTTGATAAAAATATTAGTAAAATATAAACAATATTTATAAAAAATTTACAAAAATTCATGGATGTTAAAGTTTAGAGATTTGCTCATGTTATGGTGGCAATAAAACTCCAACAATAATGGTCAGAATAATGTACTTGGTGATGATGTTATTGGGCTTGCTGTTATTTCGAGATTTCGAGATCCCAAAGAGTGGGCTGGAGACTTTTTTGCTTTTACTTCCGTCCTCATTTGGACATTAAAAATAAAAAAAAGTCAGAAGTCTGAACAAAACCATCTTCAAAAAATAAGATTTTACTGTCAATGTACTCTATAACTCATATGGTTATGAGTTTAAGTTGATGCAAGGATTTTATTAATGGTTGATTTGTAAGTGCTTTTATAAATACTTTTTAAATTTGAAAACTCGATCTTGATGAAATTTTAAAATTCAATTTATCTAACCTTTCTTATGCATAAAAAATAATAATAATAATTTGGAGGTTGCGAGCTGGAAATCATGAAGTGTTCGCTGTTCAGAGGCATGAGATGAGCTCTGTCCATGGGAAAGAAAACTGCGAACTAAATTAGAATCACTGTCTTTGAGACTTTAATCTCCAACCACATCGAGAATTCATTCTACAGTCGAAAAAGTTATCAATTTTCGTTGTGGATCGTTCCTCATATTTCTTAGTACATTTTCCTCTGTTGCGAACTTGCTACCACAACTGTTGGAAAATGATGAGAATTTTGGGGAACTACCATCCAGCAAGCATCTTCCTCGAATATTCCAAGTAATTATTGTGGATTGACAAGTCCCTTTCCAGCATATGACAAGTCCCTTTTCATCGATGAACTTTTTGGGTTCAGCATTTAATCGACCTTGGTTTAAACGGCTATGCAATTTCCTCCGACTTAAATGGACATTTTTCTTTCTTTCTTTCATAAAGATATCTTTCTTCTCACTTGGCCATAATCTTTTGGCTTAAATGCATTTCTAGTCCTTTAATTTTACAAGAAATTTTACTTTTGATCTTTTAATTTTATAAAGTTTTTAACTTCACATAAAATTTTATTTTGATCTCTTAATTTTATAAAACATTTTTAAAGTTCTTTAACTTTAACTTTAATTTTATTAACAAAAAATTTTTACATTAAACTTTTAAATATTAACAAAACATGATCAAATATTGATATATTAATTTTATTTTTTAAAATAAAAATGATTAATATAAAAAAAAATCATTTGAAATTGACAATGTTAGAGTTTGAGTAATGAAAATGTATTTTATAAACTTAGGGTGCCAAATTAAAATTTTATATAAAGTTAAAGTATTAAAAACACACTTTAACCTAATTTTTTTATTTTTTAAATAAATATGTATGCGTGTGTAATAGTTATTCCAAAATCTTGTAATAAAGTTGCACGTATTTGTGGCAAGAAAAAAGTTGCACACATTTATTAATCCAACAAAAGTAGTATGTATTATTCAATAAGTAAATATTACATGAATTACTTTTTCACATAAATGGCAATTAACACTATTTTAATCCATCTAATATTTCATAAATAATAAAGTATAATAGCGTTATGCATAATTGACGCTATCTAATTAGACAGTGCTTGTCATTGTTGTTGTAATATTCCACAGATCACTTTTTCACTTTGGCCCAAAAAACTTTTGTCGGAAGTGACGTCTTAATATTTTAACCAACAAGAGACATCTTCACTTGAGCAGCCTTGATGCGTTGTCCAAAATATGACAAAAAAGACTTATAAATTATGACTAAAAACTTGCCTTAAATTTAGTTTCGTGTTCTGGCCCAAAAATACTCAAATTTTGTGTTGATTTCATTTTTGCTTCTTTCTGTTAACAGTACGCAGCCCAAATAACATCAAATTGGAGAGGCGTGCGGCAGAATATAATGATGAAATCTTTTGGAGCCTGGAGGGAATCGTTCAAGAATTTTCCTTCTGTAAAAATAAATTTAGGTGAGTTATGTTAAGGCAGTTCAAGCTTCACAGTAACTGGTTCTCTCATCGATGGAGCTTGAAAATTAGCATTTCGAGCTTGGCTAAGCCTGTTCCTCTCACGTTTTTATTTGAACTACAGGATGACACCCTAGAAGTAGCTAGCTGTCACTTTCCCGACTAAACCAAGCATCTCAAGGTGACATGCTTAACAGCCAACAAATGGAAATCCATACAGAAGAGTAAGTGCGAGGGAGAGTAGGCGCGACTCGTGCATATGCAGGAGAGTTGGAGTGCATTACGTGAGTACTCAATAATTGTTTGTGTAGGACTCCAGTTTGTCAGTTTGAAACAGAAATTTAACTAGGTTTCGGTACCTATTTCAATTATGGTGCCAATTCCGGCAAATGCACGTCTCAGACTATATGGAGCATTGTTTCTCACACAGGTGATAAATCTCACAAGCAAAAGATAATCGGTCGGTGGGATTCTAGCCACAAAGGAGATAAGAATCGTAATCCCCTAATTTTACAGTTGTGGCGATTTCTATCTAATTAATGAGACCACAAAGTCAAATAAAGACGAGCACTATGGTTATATAAAATTATAAAGTAATATTATACACATTAAAAAAAAACAAGGGCTAACAGCTATTATATTATACACATTAAAAAAAAAAGGGCTAACAGCTATTATATAGTTATTATTCTAACATATCATGATCAATTAGCGATATGTACATGGAAAAGATGTAAACTAGTTCTATCATAATCAAGCATCAGAATGCTTGCAGAAACACTAGAAGGTCGCACATGAGAAAATTAACAGGCTTTCAATGCCCAACATTCAGTCAGATTGAGCTAACAAATGGAGCGATTAAAGCTAATCATTAAACAAAGCTTCTAGTATGAGACCCACAAGGAAGTATGCAACTGCTCAGTTTGTAAAGTTGCCCATCAGCACATCTCATTGTAAATGCAATAAATGTAACCTAGAAATGTATGCCAGCTGCACGGAGATCACACTGCTTCCCATGTCCTGTGGAACTCTGCCTTTCGGTTTGCTCCACTTCTGTTCACGTACTGCCAGCAAACTCAGAGAATAAGTACGTCTAAAAAGGGAATGAAATAAAAAGACTACAACACCACTGCTTCACAGGTCAGGAAGAAAGCTATCATCAATGAAAGTGCTTTAGGGGGGTGCGAGGTCACATTGTGACTCATGCAGAAACAGGCCAATTTTCGTCTAGAGTCGGGACCTTAGTACAATAAAAGAGGAAAACGTAGATTATTTACTGGCACCACATACCTAGTAGTTAGTTGTCATAGAAGCGGGATCGGCGTCTGTGATATCTGAAACGAGGAAACAAGAATACATGATAACAGCAATGAGAATATAGAAATTCTACGAACTTGGACATACTAACATAATATTCCGATTCAAACTAATATTCCACATCCATAACCCTGATAACTGCTTCAAAACTGAAGAGTACACTTATAACCAATGTAGGTTGCCAATCACACAGTCATGGGAAAATGGTAATGGACGATTGCTTGAACTTAGATGAAATCTCATCCTTAATGGCTCAAGTAAGAAGCCTTTAAGCCCGTCTTCCAATATGAGAAATGAGCGAATCAGCCTACAATTTTCTGAAATACAATAGGAATGAATTATCTATTGAAAAAAACTACTAATTCTATTTAGCGTGGAGTCTACAACTAAGGCAACCTAAATATGATTTAAACTTAAATGAAACCCAATGAGTGAAGACTGATAAATTTTCTCCTTTGAAATAGTGAAATTGTAGAGCACCAAAACAAGCCCAATCCTTTTAAAAAATAATTCTCTCTCTCTCACATCATAATACATCAACACATGGGCATTAAGCAATCATGTATTCTGATGCCATAGTGCAAACGTCACATCACTTTTTTTTTTTGTTTTTTGAATAAAAAGGAAACTACATTCATCAGAACGACAGCCACTTACAACCCAGTAAGCAACAAAGAGAAATCAAGGTCTCTACACTGAGACACAAAATGGTCATCACAAAAACAAAGAAAGGAAAAGGGAACTTCAGTCACTTGTTATGGATTGCATGAGGAAGCTTGGCACAAATTTAATTATAGTCCAAACCATTAAACGTTCCTTACAAAGTCCTAAACATAAATTGCTAGAAATTGACAAATCAGAAAGTCAATATGAGATGTAAAAGACATTATGATTAAAATGATGAAATTGCTGGCAAAAGAAAGTAAAGATGAAGAAGAGCTGCGCACCTGCGATAACCACTGCTACCCCTTGAGGGGCCAACTGTACTACCAAACTCATCATCAATATCATCTAGCCTATAATCAGTATACTCGACTGATGCTACAGAACCTTCATCAGAGTTTGAAGTATCAAAACTTAAACGGCGATTACCCCTTCTTGTATCACTAACTCTTGACCGTCTTCTGTTTCTGGAACTCCTGAAGTTGTCAAAGACCTGATACAAGATACAAGATGTCCACCAGTTGCCTTCATCTCCAGGGAAGTCTTCAAACTCATCAGCAGTATCATCATCTCCATATTCAATCACATAATCTCCTAAAACCACCCCCCGAGGGATTTCTGAATGAATAGTGCTCAAGACATCTACAATCTCAGTGGACTGCTGAAAATTCTCCCAATCTAGCTGACGAGCAGGGTCAATTTTTGATGGACGAGCATGGGGGTGTTCCTGTTGGGCATGCTCTTGCAGCTCCAAGAAACTTCCCATGAATGAGCATTGCACCTCATCACAACAACGCTTCTTCTTATCCAGAAATAGACGGGCTCTGTCAACCACAATCCACCCAGACACTTCACCTCTGCACAAGGGACAACTCAGCTTGCATCGGTCATCTGATACCACTGGCTCTTTATTTTCTGTGGAGGTTTCATCAGACATCAAGGAGGATGACATGCCACATGCAATTTTAAAACGATCCAAACAATTCGAGTGTAATTGACTTGTGTCGCATATAAACGGACGGCATCCTTGATCATAAGATGAACATTGGAGCAGAACACTATTATGAGGAAAATCCAAGCATATGGGGCAGACCACATCTTCCCAATGGATATCTAACATATCCCCCATGCTGTCAAAATAAGCTTGAACTGACTATTACAAGAGGTCAGAAAACCATGAAAAAGCCACTTATACGAACTTTGTTCTTGAGCTTTGCATTTCCTCAGATCAGATTATATTGCCCAGTCGGTAATATATTTAGAATTCTAACTGTAGCCTAACAGAATAACATACAAATAGTTTAAAATGCTATTCCAATAAAGCATCAAGGTGTTGGAATGACTTGGAAAACATAAAGTGCTGGGAAGATAAAAACCCGTTCAGAATGTTATATAGACGAAGATCATAGGTATCAAAGAGAATAATCATGTAAAGGTAATATAATGCTTCCGTACACCAGATGTCCAGAACATCTCCCTCGAAAATGATACATCAGATTAGACTCTAATCCCCTATGGCTTTCGTTAACAAAATACTTGAATTCCATAATCAATATACCTCCTCCCACATCTAAAACTTCAGCCAAACACAAAGCTGATACCTGTATATGCCTAAAAATTTAGCATAGAATCCAGTACCAAAATCAAATAAAATATTCTACAAAACAACACAGATAGTTTAGTGCATACAAAAAACAGGTGTGTCAGATAAACAATCAGTATTGGCCAAAAATAATATACCCAACCTAACAAGACAGGAAAAACTCAATAAAACGTTAAATAACAGAGATCATGTAATTCTGTAACTCAATTTCTCTGTTGAGAAACACAGACCAAGTTGACCTATTCTCAATAATGAGTATATAGTCGCTGTAAAACTAGTAGATACAAAAAATAACGATAAAAATTATAATCGCGAAAAAAAAAAAAGAACTGCGCTCGAACACCTAGAGTAAAACCAGGAGACGAAGCGCGAGGCACTCGAGCAATCGAGTACATTGAGAATAGGTTCAAGCACACCTTATATTTGAGAATTGATGACCGAAGACGGAAACTAACATGAAGAATAGTCGAGAGAGAGAGAGACAGCGTTGTGATCTTCACGAAAATGGAGATTCCGGTTTGAGCCGCGGTAGGTAGGGTCTCTTTCTTCCTGTCTTCCAGATGGTGTTAATACTTCGCCGGAGGAAGATTAAAAGCAAAGGTCGTATATCGAGCCGATTGACGTTAATGCCCTCCTGATTCTTGCATAATTGCATTGACCCAATCCCTGCTTTGCATGTTTGTGTACAGGCCAAGCTCATGTCAAGCAACTTGATCTGATTGAAGCCTGACTTAATTTATTAAACTAAATTTTTTTAGCTAAACCGACCTAGCTGAATAAGTCAGGTTTATTTTTTTAAAGCAAGGCTTATAAACCCACAAGCTTGGCCAATGTAGGTCTTCTTATTTACTTTTTTATATATTTTATTTTATTTTAATATTAAATTACATTTAATTTATATTTTTTTGATGAATAATTGAGCCTTATTGATGATTTAAGTAGACTTAAAATTTAATGAAAGCTATTCAAAGCCTATTTTCTTGAGTATTTTTAAGGTCTTACTTAATACATTAGGCCTTTAAAAAAGTTTCAGGCTCAAATTCGAGTTTAAAAAAAACTTGTATACAAGTTCAAGTATTAAGCCTTTATTATAGGCTCATGTTTATTTAAGTAAGATCTAGCCTATTGCCACCCCTAATTTTGGATGGCTTGTTTTAGTTTTAAAAAATAAGTAACATTTATATTTATATATTTTAGTGATTTTATGAAAGGTAATTTATTTTGCAATAATTTTATAAAAAATACAAATTTTGTGGTTTTTTGCAATGATAAAAAGTGATTTGTTATTTAATAATTTAAAACAATTAGGAGTGGATTTAAAAAAAATGATACGCTAAGTAAACGAGAAAGTCATTAAAAATACGGAGATATATTAATATATCATAGAATTTTAAAATAACTAAATAATAAATTATATTTTATGAGTAGAAATTCTTAAAAAATCCTAAAGATGACTTGAAATCTAAAAATAATTAAATAATAATCACTTTTTGATAACTAAATAATAATTTAACTTGTTTATATCTTAGATCTACTTTCATTTTTTGAAACCAACTCTTATTTAGTACTTCATTTTCTAACCTTAGATTCTTAAATTTTGTTAAGCAAATCTTTTTTTTAGCAAGTTATTTCATACATTCAACAAGGGCACATTTAGAAAAATATTAAACACTCCTCAAATTTTATAATTTGTCTAACAAATTAAAAAAACCACGCCAAAATGTTGTTCCACAAATAGAAATAATTTAGATCTAGATTAGATAATTCTACAAGCAAACAAAATGAAATTTTATTAAAAAAAACTGAAAAATCGATGTCCCTTTTTTGGTCATTCAGGAGTCCTGACATTTTTGTCCCAGAAACATGCCGCTTCATATTTGTGGGCAACAGCCTGCCTATTAATTTTCTGCATATTGCAAGTCACTTTTTTTTCCCCTTTCATTTTCTTTTCCTCCTTTCAAAGCCTGGCATCTGGGGGTGGGGGGAAGGATGCTGGTTTTATATTTTATGTCAACTGCAACAATTTGTGACATATTCTACACACCCTGAATTTGCCTGGTACCCTTTGGTCCAAAAAAAAAACAGAAAAGAGAAAATTGCCTGCAACCCAAATTATGGAAACAAACTTTGAAAACAGCTAAGATGAAATAAGTTACAAAAGTAATTAGTTTTCCAAAAACGTGTTGCTAACTGCTAAGCTTGCAATTCCGTGAAACACTTTTGAAGGTGGGAAAGGATCCTCTCCTTAGTCAACCCTGGGAATTCAGAGCATGAAGTGTAAGGAATAAAATTTAAAATTGTTAATATTATTAACGAAGAATTAATTTGTTTTATGGTAAATTTTAAACAATCTGATGATAATTCTATGAATTCTTAAAGTTCATTTTTCCGTCACATGTTAAGACATAATGACTGATTGACGAGGTTATATTGACTGTATAAAATGCAGATTATAGCAGCCCTACGCATTTGACTCGTGATTTTGGAGTGACATAACAAATAGGGGCGCTGTTAATTCTCAAGGGCTGTGGTTAGCGCAGTCAGAGCCATGACGCCACCTACACGCCTGAGTGAGCACGTAGAATAAAGACACATCGAGTACCTGTATTCTGACCCGTTTTACTTGCCGCGTCCTCACTGCCGCCGTCTCTCTACTCTCAAGTCAAAGTTCTCAATGAGCACCATAATGACCAATATGCCCTATTTGTATTATTAAACTCCCCCGCCAAAAATATATCCATTTCTTTTCAATTAATCTTGATTCATAATATAAATAATTTAATACATGTAAAATATTTTTTTATTTTACTTCTTATATTTATTAACCTAAATATTTATAGAAATACATCTCTTACTCTTTATAAAGTTATTAATAATTGAGACTATAAATAAAAAATATAATACTCTCTCTGTTAAAAAATGTAAGGCAGTTTTAACTAAATTTCACCCTAATAAAGTAATTACTTACTTTTCAATTAACCCCATTTTTTTCATATTTATTTCTATTAAATACCCTATAATAAATATAAAGTTATTATCAATAAGAGTACTTTTTTTTAAAAAAAGTAATAATTACATCTAAAAAAATTAAAAATACCTTACATTTTTTAACATTCAACTCCTCAAAAAATACCTTACATTTTTTAAGAAAAAGAGTACATATTTTCATAAAAACAAAGATTTTATTAATATATAGAATTTTTTTAAAAAATTATTTATATTTTGGGTCGGAGGAAGTAACCCAATAAATTCCATTTAATAGTTCTCCACCGAGAAGCAACCAGATCTAGATTTAACAAGTAAACTTCTTTTGTTCCCACCCAGACCTCTTCCCAGTCGTATGCACTTTAAATTTTAACCATATCAAATCTGATTTCCTATCACAAGTTGTACGTTTAGCAGGATCAAGTTCTTAGCATGACCTAAACAAAATGTTCAGGTTAAAAGAGACAGCCACTCGAATAAGTTATTATAAAATTATCAACAGCTATATTGATGGTCTCATCCATTTTGTATGTGAAATGGAAGTAAAGAAACTCTAGCACATATGATCAATTCATGGATTACATAAACAATTTACGATTAAGAACGCATACCTTATCCCCAGCACCGCAGAAATTAGGTTTACATGATCAAACATGCATCGGGATTGTGCAAAAAATAAGGTTATATGAAGGTTAAAAATCTACGAATTGTCGATTATGCACATGAAACTATAAATCATTTTACTTGGCAAAATGTTATTCCTATACAGATGTGGTGACTTGATGTAGAGAACCCTTTTTCGCTGTAGAGGGGGCAAAAGAAACATAACAGGTGTATACCAATAAGTCTGTACCACTCCTTACGCTGAAAGTCCAAGGACTTGGCTATCTATCGGATAAGACTGAGTCACTCCAGGAAAGTAGGAGATCTTTGACAAACGTTGGGAAGTCTACAAACAGAATAGAAGCAGATCAATATTTACTTTGCCATATGTAGCAGCAAGCTAATGCCAGAAAACAATCTAAACTGAAATCCATTCCAGGGTATGTCGAAGCATTACCTCTTGCTACTTCTAAAGCCACTGAAGGGAGGTCTATCTGGTCTTCTACTAGCCTATACACATCAACAAGCTGCACAGAACACAAATCAAAATCCACAAATCCAGGATTGTAGACCTCAAAGAGAGGAGAGGGTATATTAGGACCAAACCTCTTCAACATGAAGCTTTGAATCCTCAGTCAAAGCAAGAAGAAGCTGTCTACGTATTCGTTCGTCAACAAAGAAAAGACGAGCTCCATCTTTAATGGTGTCTGTGAGGTCCAGTTTTCTTTCAACTCGCAAGTTTCTTGTTCTTTGCCTGTATAGATTAGCCTTAGGTGAATATCACTTCTTGGATGACTCAAAAATAAGAAACCAAACACACCCAGTAGTTTTGAAGAAATACAGACATGTCTTTCACTTGCAATGCTGGATTGCTATTCATCTTGGCCACATTTTCCTTTGCAAGAACAATGAGGTTTTCAAGCCGTTTCCACTGGAACAGGCCATCTTTGAACAGAACCTAAAAAAGCAACAATTTATCTAAAGTGATGAACAAAACAAGCTTATATAGCAATTATAACAGTTAGGAATTCATGTCTTGAAGGGAAAACAAGAATCACCGAAGTTTTTGGGAAATCCATAACTGCCGAGGTATCTATCATACAAATGCACGGTACAGGAAGAGAAAATACAGTAGTAATGTTTCACGTTGCATGCAAGGATTATTGCACATTTGAAAGCAGTGTTTGAATTAAAGCCATTGCATTTAACCTATATTAGAAGAAAACGAGGAAAGATATTTTAGTTCTTCAAATATAACAGACTCACCTTTTGAAAACAAAGTGAAGCATAATGCAACCATGATCTAGTGACACCAGAAGACATAATGCTATATTATACAAAACCAAGCCCTAACTTTTTCGTAGCTTTATCTCCAATGACCATGACAATGCACCACCAAAACACGAGTTTACCTATAGATGATAAGATGACAAAGGCACTGTTGTATTCCCCCTCCCCTTCCCCACCTCCACACACACACACACGTGTTAGGAAAAAAACATCCAAAATATTCGTGTTCACACAGAGCCCTTTTCACATGCTATTAGGAGGTAAGATAGTATAGTCAAAGACGCCAAGAGGCCTCAACACCTCTTGCTAATTGAGGCAAGGGACCTTCATCCAAGTGCCCAACGGCAGCACCTTTCTGGTGGATGCAAGGCCACTCTTTACTAACTCATGCAAGTTGAGCTTGCCAAACTGTAGAATCCTTAAACCCTAAATTGATTTTGATTTACATTAAAATCACCAACAAAGAAACATTTTTAACTCAAGCAACATGAAGTAAGAAACCATTCTATTTCTAAAATTAGCATTTTGAACTCCAGCTTTAAACTAACCTGAATGAGACGTTCACGAAGAGCTGGATTTGGGTCTGTTAGGAGCCTCTTAGCCACATACGGATAGGCAACCTATTTGCATACAGAACTTGTTACTGCATTGGAGTAAGGTGTGACTAAAAAAAGTTGAAAGACATACTCAAACATATTGGATTATAGTAATGAAGTTCCTGCTCAAATACACTTAAACTTT